GCACCAGGTGCCCCTGAGTCTGCAGCTGAACCCGGGGCAATAGAGGGCCATGAATGCTGTCCTGGGCCAGCGCAGTTCCGCTTTTTCGGCACGGCCTGGAAAAACTACTATCACCACTCACCATGTGGAGACCCTGGGAACCCGGCCCCTCCAACAAGCCCCATATCGTGTCCCCGAAGCTGTTAAGAACACTATGAGACAGGAACTGAACGAAATGCTGGATCTGGGAATTATTCAGCCCTCCCAGAGCCCCTGGGCCTCTCCTGTTGTTCTTGTCCCCAAGAAAGATGGTAGCATCCGATTTTGTGTTGACTACCGACGCCTCAATGACCACACGGTTAGTGACGCCTACCCGATGCCCCGTATCGATGACCTACTGGACCGGCTGGCTGGAGCCCGCTATGTCACTACTCTGGACTTGAGCAAGGGCTACTGGCAAATCCCCTTATCTGCAGAGGGTCGGGAGCGCTCCGCCTTCATCACCCCCTTCGGCCTGTTTGAGTTTCTCAACATGCCTTTTGGCATGAAGAATGCTCCTGCCACCTTCCAGCGTACGGTGGACCAGCTGCTGCGGGGCTGTCATGACTTTGCCTGCTCCTACCTGGATGACATCGCCATCTTTAGTGAAACATGGCAAGACCACCTCCAGCACGTGGGCTTTGTCCTGGACCGAATTGCAGGGGCCAACCTCACGATTCGACCAGACAAGTGCCAGATGGGGATGGCGGAGGTGCAATATTTAGGACACTGGGTGGGAGGGGGTAAACTGCACCCAGAACCGGCTAAAATAGAAGCCATTAGGGAATGGCCCACCCCCCAGACCAAGAAACAGGTTATGGCGTTCCTGGGCACTGCTAGCTATTACCGTAAATTCGTTCCCCATTTCAGCACGATTGCGAAGCCCCTCACAGATCTCACCAAGAAGACCATGCCCCGGATGGTAACTTGGACCCCGGCCTGCCAGAACGCATTTGATCGGCTGAAGGAGGCCCTTTCCCATGACCCCGTCCTAGCAGCCCCCAACTACCAGCGAAGGTTCATCGTGCGGACAGATGCCTCCACTTATGGGCTGGGGGCCGTCCTCAGCCAGGTAAATGAGGAGGGGGAGGAGCACCCTGTTGCCTTCCTTAGCAGGAAACTATTAGACCGGGAGGTGGCCTATGCCACCATAGAGAAGGAGTTCCTGGCCATAGTGTGGGCGTTGAAGAAACTTCAGCCCTATTTGTATGGCCGGGAGTTCACCATCCTCACGGACCATAACCCCCTCACCTGGCAGAATCGGGTCTCCGGGGATAATGGCCGCCTCTTACGATGGAGCCTGGCCTTACAACCCTACAATTTCACCATCCAATACCGATGGGGAAGCCAGCACCACAATGCAGATGGGCTGTCCCGTCAGCAAGACCCCCAGTAAATGCAGTCCACAAGTGCCTCTACGGGAACCTGTTGAGGTTCCCCTGGCGGCACTTGTAGAATGGAGGGGGGAGGGGTGTCACAGAGCTGGTCCTTCCTTCCCCATCCTCCAGGTTTGCTGGCTGCTACCCTTCTGTGCCATCCATGCTGGGACTTCTAGTCCTCTTTGTCCCTGACACAGGCAGACCTCAGCAGCCCCTCACCCCCCTGGTTTGCAGCCTGGCCTCCTGCTGAAGGAATCCACAAACAGGCCATCTCCTCCCTTCCCCCTCATGCACAAATTCCTGGGGTCCCCTGGACAGGTCTGGAGACAGGACCCGTTGCCATGGTAACCCGATAGGAAGTATCCGGTTACCAGCTCTATACTTAAGGGTGAGCAGACAAACCTCCGTGTGTTCTCCTGGCTGCATGTGTGAGGGAAGGCTGTGCTGAGGGCCAGCTCCTCTCATCCCCCGTCCTCCTCCTCATCTCCTGGACTGTCTGTGCTGCCTGGAATCCCTGCACTGTGGAGGGATCTTCTGCTGTCCCCGTGCATCTGCCTGGATCTATCCCCTGCCTGGACTTAACCCCTTGTTCTCCGTGAACCTGCCTGGACTTAACCCTTTGTTCTCCGTGATCCTGCCTGGACTTAACCCATCCCTGCCTGGAGCCTCCTGTGGGGACTAACCCTGTGGATTACAATACCCCTGTTGTTCCATATTGCCTTCCAGAGAACTGTACTGTGTTGCTGTGTCTGGTGTGGATCTGTGGACTAAAGGAACTGTTGTCTGTGCCCCAAAAACCTCCCCAATAAAAGCACGTTGGGTTCCATGCAATCTGTCTCTGTGTGCTCTCTGGTTCTCTTGACAAAACCAATCAGCTTCCATGTTTTATTTTCAAAGTTTAATTGAACAAGCTGAAGCTAGAAGCTGATTGGTTATCATGCACCAGATTCTAAGTGTACCAGTTTTAGTAAATCTCCCCCAGGTGTGACCAAATTAGCCTGGCCATGACTACTGCCTCATAGTGTGTGCAGACCCATTGTGGAGCTACTAGCAGGAAGAGTGTCCATCCATGTGACAGACAGATCGGTGTGCAGAGGAAGAAGTCTGAATTCTTTGGAGCGGGAGCCGTCAAAGCTTCAACAGGTGACAGTGCTCTGAGCAGAGAGGAGTCTGGACTTTTGGCAGCCTGAACACCTGCAATTCCAGAGTGGCTATAAGTGGCTTCTGCAGAGAGGAGCTGGTGGTCTTGACACAGCGTAATGCCTAAAGAAATTATGCCTCAACAGAAATTCCACAGCAATGCAAATAAATTCCTGGAGCTGAGACGTATAACAGCTGTAGCGTTTTAGATGATATTTTCAGGGCCTCCAATTCTAGATGGTGAGGAATGCACCAGCACAGGGATTCCACATCTACGGTAACCCAAATGAAGCCCGAGGATCACCTTATTTCATGTACAATAAATAAGCTAGCACATGGCTAATGTCACTAAAGTATCCCGGTAAACGAATGACCAGGGGTTGTAGATGTTCATCCACCCATTCATTACATTTTTTAGTAATGATTCTATGCTAGCCACAATAGGACGTCCCTTAACCTGGATGTCCTGTTTGTGGACCTTGGGGAGATGGTGAAAGATTGGGATAATGGAATTTTCTACCAAAAGATAGTCTTCTGTCTTCGTATCTAGAACTCACATCTCCTTACTCATATCTAGCAAATGTTTCAATTTATGTTCAATTGATGGGATGGGGTGAGAGTCTAGAATTCTATAAGTGACAGGGTCCCCCAACGTCCGTTTCTTGTCTATAAAACTCTCTGGATATGGAACAACAATGGAGCCACTCTTGTCCGCCTAGTTGATAACAATGTCTATTCTTTTCTAAAATTTGTAATGCCGTATATTCAGCCTATTCAAATTGTTTTGCCAAGGATGGACCCATGTTCAACTGGACTCTTTGAGTTTGACAAATTCCATCTCCACAACATTATGGAAAATGTCAACCACATTACTTACGGCCTGTATGGGATATAAAATATTTATCACCCATGTTTGTAATGTTGTAATCAATACCATACTGGCCACCACTGGACTCAGACTGTAGTCCCTCTAAGATTGTTTGAGCTGTTAAGTGGATTTTGAGAGCTCTATCATTCAAGCTGTTCATACTGATTCTTATCATTAAAGTATTTTTATTTTTTCTGCACCCTCCCATCTAGCATTTTTTTCCCAGTGTATGCGGCCATAATTCACCAGGAAAACAAAATTTGTATACTTACCATTCCATAATTTTCCCTTCCTGGTGCATCTTCATGGTGGCATACAGATGCCCATCTTTGGGGTGATAGTTACAGTGGCTTGAAAAAGTATTCATACCCCTTGAAATTTTCCACATTTTGTCATGTTACAACCACAAATGTAAATTTATTTTATTGGGATTTTATGTGATAGACCAACACAAAGTACAAGAGATACCTGTGCTCAAATCCATACAGCTAGTGCATGCATTTATCCATCAGGTGGTAAAGGGGTATAACCACATATTAACACTAAAAATTCTGAAGGACCCTCTGCACACTGGTATATACCCTTTCAAGCAGACTATGCATTAAATCGGGATATTTAGAATATTCAGAATTTTTTGTGTTAATATGTGGTTACACCCCTTTAGCACCTGATGGATAAATGCATGCACTAGCTGTATGGATTTGAGCACAGGGATCTCTTGTTTGTTGTATTGTTGGGTCAGTAGCCAGACCTGAACCTTGTAGCTTGTAGCTACTCCCCATTGTGTCTTTTCCCCTATGCTAGCATTGTGTCCACAGTAGCATTTGCGCAGGCAGAGCAGAGTAGGACTGGCCATAGAGGGATTACTTTGACGCAGTTGGCCAGCTTAAGCATGTATTGCAATATGTGTGAACTAAATATCCCTATTTAATGCATAGTCTGCTTGAAAGGGTATATACCAGTGTGCAGAGGGTCCTTCAGAATTTTTAGACCAACACAAAGTGGCACATAATTTGTGAATTGGAAGAAAAATGAGAAATGGATTTCAACATTTTTTACAAATAAATCTGTTGCAAAAGTGTGGCGGTATTTGTATTCAGCCCCCTTTACTCTGATACCCCTAACTAAAAATCTAGTGGAACCAATTGCCTTCACAAGTCACCTAATTAGTAAATAGAGTCCACCTGTGTGTAATTTAATGTCAGTATATATACAGCTGCTCTGTGAAGCCCTCAAAGGTTTGTTAGAGAACATTAATGAGCAAACAGCATCATGAAGGCCAAGGAACACACCAGATAGGTCAGGGATAAAGTTGTGGATAAGTTTAAAGCAGGGTTAGGTTATAAAAAAATATCCCAAGCTTTGAACATCTCACAGACCACTGTTCAATCCATCATCCATGTACAACTTCCTTGAGAGTGATCTTTTTTAATTTTTTACAAAATGGTACAGAGGCATCACACAGCGATTTTCCAAAAACAAATACAAAAGAACAGTGTGTTTGTGTAAACTATGTATGTATGTATGTGTATGTGTATATATATATATATATATATATATATATATATATACACACACTATATTGCCAAAAGTATTGGGTCAGCCCTCCAAATCATTGGATTCAGGTGTTCCAATCACAAGTCACAAGTATATAAAATCAAGCACTTAAGGCAACCAGGCTAACTTTGAACCTATTGCTGACCACTCATGCTGAAAAATGTTTGTGTTGGTCGACAGCTAAGATGCAGAGAGATCATATTGGCTCTATGTTAGCGGTCAAACTTACCTTTTTCTCCCCCTAAAATTAGATGCTCCTTGGGTGTTTATACTCAAGACCCTGAGAAAGCCTTGACCAAGTTCCATAGGTCTTATGAAAATTTATACTGTGCCCCGAACCAACTCGGATCCTGAGAAGTCCTTGGCTTTCCTCCACTCGGTTAAAATCCCTAAACTGGCAGTGGCACACAGGTAAATAATGTATAATCCCACCACAGTCCAAGAGATCATGCAGACCATTAAACAAAGCAAATGATCATCTACACCGGATTCGGACAGGTTTTCAGCTCTAGAATACTGAAAATGAATAGCCGTTCTAGCTCCCCATCTGATGCGGTTCTTCGACTCTTTGAGGGAAAGGCACACCCTAATATCAGACTTAAACACAGTGTTTATTTCTGTGATCCTTAAACCTGGTAAGGACCCTGAAGCCATTCAGAATTATATACTGATTTCCCTAATCAATAATGATTTGAAATTACTGACTAAGATACTTGATAACAGACTGACCTCTTTCATCAATACTTATATTCATAAAGATCAGGTGGGCTTCATTCCGGGTAGACAGGGTCATGACCAGGTTCTACAGGCTATCAATGTGATCTCTCTGCTGCATTCAGGCTGGGATGGGGGAAGCCCCAACAGAGTATGCTGCTTTCTATTGACCTCCAAAAGGCGTTTGATTCTGTGTCTTGGGACTATCTTTTCCATCTGTTGGGGGCTTGGGGATTTGGGTGTCCATTCCTTGCTATTTTCCGTGGCCAAGGTCTGCCTACAGGGCTATCATTCTGATCCCATTTGGATTCAGAGGGGCACTAGGCAAGGGTGCCCCCTTTCCCCTCTCATATTTGTCATTCTGATTGAAACTCTGGCGATTGCACATGGTGGAGTGCGGTGGGCACCCTCACAAATGTGCATTATTTGCAGATGATTTGTTCCTATTTAGAACCTCTCCTTTGATCTCGCTCGCTAACCTTCTCAAGACTTTTCAGGTATTTGTACAGGTCTCGAATCTGCAGGTCAATGGAACTAAATCAGTAGCCATGAATATTAACATACCTTTGTCCCTGTTAGCTGGATTGCAGGAGGCGTTTCCCTTCTCCTGGAGTTTGGGCTTTCTCCCCTACCTGGGAATCCGTTTGACACCCTCCCTGTACAAGGTCAACTACCCTCTATTATTTAAAAAGCTAAAAGATGATTTACGGGTTTGGGCAACTCATGATCTATCCTGGTTAGGCAGGTTCCATTCTGTTAAAATTTCTACTGTCACGCAGTTTATATTATTTCCACTCATTACCAATTGCCATAATCCCTTCAGAAATTGGCTAAATTTTAAGCCAAACTTATTTGTTTAGTCTGGAAAGGTAAGGGACATAGGCCATCGAAACAGGTTCTTTTTGCACATAAAACGGTTGGGAGGTCGGGTCTTCCAAATCTGCTGCTCTATTATCAAGCTGCTCAATCAAGTAGCTCAATTTTCAGCGGTATATTCCCATAATGAAAAAAACTGACTGGATTTCTATAGAATGAATGGCTGCTACTGTAGATATTTTCCTTAATATCAAATAATTGCAGACTAATCGGTTATTTTATATATTTTTGTTTATTTTTAGATTCTGAAATAAAGAAATCATGGCTTCAGACAGAGAAGTCACAGAGGTGATAAAATGTCTTAGATGGAAATTAACGGAAGTGTTTGAGAAGGACGCAGAGGGTTTCTGTGATGAGCTGCGATCTCAAGGCCTCATAACCCTGGATGAGAAGATTCATCTTCTAGATGATGAAGATCCAAGAGGGAGAGTTGAAAAAATGGTGAACATTATACTTAAGAAAGAAGATCTCTGTGAGAAGTTCCTGTGTAATCTTGAGAACGTGATCCCTAGATTTCCAACACTGAGCGATCTGTCCCGTGACTTTTCAGAAAGTAAGTTATCTCATCTATAGGAATATTTTAGGCTGGGTGTTATTTTATTGTCAATTGAGCTTTTAAAAACAAGCAAGAGAGGGCTCCTCCATCTAAATGTTTTATTAACCCCTTCACACCTAAGGGTAAAACAAATCTTAATGCCTAAGCACAGTCTTGCACCTTTGACATGTGTTAGTAAAACCGTCCATATCATCACATCGACTTTGTACATCCAGGTGGATTATACCTTGTTTTTTCAGGACACATTTTTTTATTATCAAAGGAAAACTGGCCCAAAATAGTAAAAAAAATAATTGTTTTTAATTTAGCTGTGTGTATCTTAGTACTACTATAACCTACCACCAAACAGCAACCCAAAATAAATTCTCCAGCTCTTGACGATCGCAGTGATGCCATATATGTGTATGTTATTTGTTGTTTGTACCCGTAGTACAGCCCAGAAACAATAGTGCGCATTTTGTTTTTATTTTTTTTTTTGGGGGGGGGGGTTTACCTAAAACACACTGACACTAACTGACACTGATACCAAAAAAAAAAAAAATCCTGACCTTTGACCCTGACCTTAAGCCAAACACTAAACCTGGCACTGAACTAGATTAAACATTGATCTAGGTATTTTTTTCTTTCTTTCTTTATTTTTTTTTAATATTTATTTATCTTTCTTTTTCTTTTTTTAACAAACTTTTTTTTTTCTCTATGCAAGGAGTTAGAGATACAATGTATCTCTCTTCTCCATTCATAGAGAGAAACAAAACAAGGGGGGGGGCAGGCTATACAGTGACTGATCACTGTGATAGCCAATAAGAGTCTATCACAGCGATCATGTGACCCGGAATCGGAGTCCTGATCGTTAGAACGAAAGTGACACCCCAGTCTTTGTCCCGGGAACATGCTGTGTGGCACGCTCCCAGCAGAAAGACAGTTACGCAAATATGCGGCCTCACGGAAAAGAGCCCAGTTCTGTGAGGCTGCATATTTGTGTGAAGTCGGCGTGAAGGGTTTATGAGGAAAAAAAACCCAACGTGTTTGTTGGCATCTCAAGATTAATATTGGGAGGATTTTATTTTTATTATTATTAATTTAAATTTCTCATTATTATCATTTAATTAGTATTTTTTTTTTATTATGTTTACTTTTACTTTTTTTTTTTTTACATGGTTTTTCTCATGGGGGCTCTGGATCAAGCCAGTGAACAATGGAGACCTGTTGTAATCCCCATCCAACTCTTGCAGCAAACAAAATACTGGAATCTGCCAACAATAGATCACTATAAGTGTTTCTGCCAATGTGCTTCTGTTCACTTCAGTGGGGTTGGCACGCTGATAAATGTCTATGGGAATGCACATAACTTGAAGCAGATCACATACTGATCAGAAGGAGGTCAGCTGCAGGTCACATGCACCTCTCAACAAATTCTGAAAGATCCCAGAAGTGTCTCAAACTGATGCCATCAACATGGCCCAAATTTCATTCACATAGACCCTAACAATGATTTATCTCTACAGAGTGAAACTCATAGAAAGTTCAAAGATATCAAATCACTTTCTTTCTCTCTGTTACAGGGTGCTCCTATTGTGGCAGCACCCAAATATTGCAGAGTTCCCCTTTAAGCCTTAACGTTTATAAAAGCATCTGTTTACAGAAACAGGTCATCAGCTCACTCTACCCCTGATTTCCTGTGGAACAACGTGTTCCAGTCTAGCAGCTGACACCCTAAATTTCAGTTTGTGATATTTTATCTAAATGTGAAACCGCAAAGGCTATATCCTAAATGGCTCAGAATGTATTTTAAAGGTATAAAACGTAAATAGAAATATAATTGTTGATATATACACCACGTAAGATGTATTTCAAGGCGCTTAGCATGCAGACCCGACTCTGGCTAGGTCAACCAGCTGGTAAATAAAAAGCTTGTTTTCCTCAAGTTCATGTCTGGAGTTTTCCTGGAATTCTCAAAGTTGCCATTACATTTTGGAGGTATGTTTTACAGTATCTGAAGCCCAGGAGCAGATCAGTTATCTTCTGGGTGTAATGCTGTCACTGACAGCAATTCCAGAACATGGCCATCAAGAGCTGCTAAGTCCGTGTGCCATTTTACAGAGATGCTGGGATATCAGCCTTTAATTCCAAAATGGCACTTGGTCTCAACAGCTCTTGCAGACCATGTCCTGGAATTGCTGTCAGTGACAGCATTACACCCAGGAGATGAACTGATCAGCTCCTGGGCTTCAGATTATGTAATACATACCTCCATATAGGCCCAGACTGGCCATAGCGCACACTGGGCAATTGCCTGTTAGGCCAGGGCCGCTAGGCCATATACCCCCCCGCAGCTGGTGTACTATGTGGAGAGAGAGGCGTCAGTAGCATTGCTAGCACCAGGCATCCAGGCATCCAGGCTCTGCTCTTCTTCAATCATCGGCACCTGCATCATCCCCTTAGCACCTGTCATGCTAGTCAAACAGCCAATGATGTGCTCTATGAGATAAAATGAGGAGGAGCCTGGAAGGATGAACATCTCCCACCCTGGCATTGAGCTGTGATGTATACACAGTCTGAGAGTAGGGATGGGCAGCATGTTCAAGTCAAACATACGTTCATGTGTTCGTTGAACTGTTCGCCCGCCGCACCCCACAATGTACTGCACACTGCACCCTGACACCCTGACAGTGCTTTGTGATTGGTCAAAAGCAATGCACCTTAACACAAGTCAGGTGCAATACTGTGACCAATCAGAGCGTGTGCTGATGTCACAAGGGGCAGGGTGAACCCCCTTGTGACCTCATGACAATATATAAGAACTGTCGTCGTGGACACAGCTAACAGATGGCGGGAATCAGTGTGGCGAGTGGAGCGTTTTTTTTTTCCCCTTTTTTCGTGTAGCAGCGGGCATCGTGATTGACGTTAAACCTACTTCGGGGG